GCGTAATGGAGCTGCCCTGCAGCTTTGGGGTTTCGATCTCCGACACTTCATTCTAGAGTTCAATCGGCACAGTGTGGGCAGTTTTACTGCTCAGCGGGTTCATCCAAGGTTTTGGGGGTTTCAGGCTCGAATGTATCGGGCTTTCAGGGCCTCGAAGCGTTTCAACACCATCTGTAGAGCGCCATTCATGTCGATTCAGCACTGTACTAGCGTGGCCGTGAACCCCATCAACGATCTGCAGGAGCTCATCCTCCAAAAGGACGGACGGCTGAGGATGACTGCAGCTCCATGTTGCATCATCCAACAACTCAAGTATTTCAACGGTGCTACTACAGGCTGCAGGGTTTTAGACTCTCACACATCATGGCTTTCGACTGTCTTTTGCAGACAGATCGGCCGAGGCATGTCCAGATCGGAAGGCAAGAACGATAAGACGGCATTGTGTACTGCTCAGTGGCCCAACCAAGTAGCGTTTCCTGCGCACCCGATTATGCTTCGAAAGCTTTATTTCCGAATCAAACAATGAGGCATTGTGCTCTTGCAAGTGGTCTCACTACATCAATTCAATTTGGCCAGGCGCTTGGGAGCAAAATCTAGAAGCTTCGATTTTCTGCTGCTCCTATTCCAGCAGAATCCGACGGATAGCATGCCCCTGCACTTGGCAGGAAGACGAAGTCGACAAAAGATTGCTGCGTGAAGAGTGTCATGTTAACAGTCGTGCAAATCACCTGGGACTGCCACACACTGCCCTCCAGACTTGCCCCCCGACCAAGTTTGGCCATGAAAGCCCGCATCGCTGAATTGTTTGACCTCGTCCCCTCTGCGATACCAGGGCCACTCCTCCCGTAACGTCTCTTGCCTCTACCTTCACTGCAGTAGCCATAACGCCCTATGCCAAGGCAATCGCTTCCTCGACAGTCCTGTGCAGTTGCTTATGCGCGAACTTCGGTTGGACTTGAAGTTTTTAGTTCGGCTACGTGTCCCGGCGATTTTGCTTTCATCACTGTTGCAGCATCCAGTATCCATGGCTGGCTGCTCTGCCTGCAACGGCTCGGCTAGCTGAGCTTCCTTCTCAGCCTGTGCAACGTGCAAAGTCTTCCGCAAGGCGGTGAGATGTGCCTCTGCGCAATCTCAAGCTTGAGCCGTAGCCAGTTTCGCTTTCGACTCTCAAACTTGCAACTTGTGCATGGGTCCACGAGTCCACAACCACGACAATTGCTCCGTCTATGGAGACTACTCCGCCTTCATCTCGTTCCGGGTTTTGGGGTTTGGTAGGCGCGACATCGTGGACGGAAAGGTGATACGAACCGAGCCATTTTGCCCAAAACCTTTCCACGGAAACTGCACATTGCTCTGCAAGCCCACCAATTACGATAACACGAGCACAGTCAACAAGCCTTCCAACCTTGTGGACTACCTTGTGGACTTGGAGAGGTCTCTCGCATAGAGCGTTGCGAAGCGACTGGGATTCTCTCTCCATTACGATCATGCGTCGTCTCACAGCATCCCTCACTAGCGAATCTATGGCATGTGGTTTATGCAGGCAGAAGAACCCTGGGGCACCCCGCCCAAGCTGCGCGTTTAGGGCCGCCCAGCTCGCCACCCAGCGCCAAACGCCGCACACGCAGAACGACCTTGCCGTGCATGTCGAGACTGAACTGAAATTCGAGCCACCACACACCTTAACTTGCTGTTTGGATGTTGGTTCGCGACTCTGGAACTGTCGGCATCACATCAAATTCAGAACATTCGGAATGATAAATATTATGCTTGCTCTGGAAAGCTGTGGCTGATGCTCATGATGATTGGTTGGCAATGCCGCCATCGAGCGACCTGCGGCTGATGCTCATGATGACTGGTCTGGCTGTTGCCACTGGCCATGCCGTGGTCGAGCAGCCTGCCGCTAATGCTCATGATGCTTGGTCTGGCGGTCGACACTGGCAATGCCGTCGCCACGCGGCATGCGGCTGATTCTCATGATGCTTGGTCTGGCTGTCGTGGCCGAGCAGACTGCGCGTGATGTTCATGATGCTTGGTCTGGGTGTTGACACTCGCAATGCCGTAGTCGAGCGGCCTGCCGCTGATGCTCATGATGCTTGGTCTGGCTGTCGACACTGGCAATGCAGTCGCCACGCGGCATGCGGCTGATTCTCACGATGCTTGGTCTGGCAGTCGTGGCCGAGCAGACTGCGCGGCTGATGCTCAATGATGCTCATGATGCTTGGTCTGGGTGTTGACACTCGCAATGCCGTAGTCGAACGGCCTGCCGCTGATGCTCATGATGCT